CTTCTGAGATCCTCAATTGGTAATAACCCTGTCTCGAGTCCAACTTGAAAAATACCACGGCCGTTTGCAGTTGATCAAATAACTCATCTATGTGAGGCAAAGGGTATTTGTTCTTAATGGTCACATCATTCAAGTTTTGATAGTCTATGCATAGTTTTAAACTTCCATCCTTTTTCTTAACAAAGAGCACTGGAACTCCCCACGGTGAATCACTTTCTCTAATAAAGACTCTTTCTAATAAATCTTGCAACTGCAACTTCAATTTTTTTAACTTCGCTGGTGCCATCCTGTAAGGCATCTTAGAGATAGGTATTGTCCCCGGAGCTACGTCAATCTTAAACACTATCTCTCTCTCTGGAGGTAATGTCACTAATTTCTCAGGAAAGACATCAGGGAATTCCTTCACTACTGGCATGTTTTCCAACTTCACCTTATCTTCAGGTGTCTTTATAAGAAAGGCTAGATATCCTATAACCCCACTACTTAACAATTTTCTAGTTCGAATCGTGAAAATTAGAGCAGACGATGCAAGCCTATCCCTCACATCTAACTTCAAAGTTGCCTCCCCCGAGATGCGCAACTCTACTAATTTCATCTTACAACCCAACTGAGCATGGCATCTGGCCAACCAATCCATCCCAAGTATCACATCATATCTCTTAATTGTTAGGCTTATTAGGTTCGCCAACAATTTCCTCTCACCAACCCAAATCTTACAATTTCTATAAGCCTTATTAGCAATTAGGCACTGGTCCTCTGTAGGAGTCTTAACTTCCAAATCAAAAGGTAAGAAATCACATTTTACATCTATACCCTACATTTCTAGGGTTTTGGTTCGGACCAATCGCTGATCCCTCATCTCTCTCGGAAGTGCGGGGTTACCGAAACCCACGCCTACGACTCCGTCCACATTCTCGCCGATCCATTTAGCAAGAGTCTAAAAACATAATTAAAAGAGGGGAAATAAGCATAGAAATTGAAATGCATATGCAAGTTGCAAGAACACTTGAAATTAAAGCATACTTCTTTACATAAACTAAAACTCATGTTACAAGTCAAGAGTTCATAAAACAAATCAATACTGTCAAATACAGGAAATAGGCATCCAAGTGTCTCAAAATATAGGGCCATATGCAACAAAATACAAAATTCCTCAATGCGCGGATCACCCCTTCTAAGTCCTTAGCAAAAGTCAAAAGATTTGAAAATCACTAGTATAAGTGGACCGAACTAGTAAACCCCATATTCTCAGAAGGATCCTCCTCGGGCTCCTCCTTGGGCTCCGCCTCCATAGGCTCCATCTCCTCCTCATCACCAGGGACAGCATCCCCAGGTTCTTCTCCACCGATGGCCCCCTCTATGTGATCAGCCATGGCCCCACACTCCGCCATAATGCCATCCATACGGTCCCTCACCTCCTCTAAAATTAGAATAAGGCGCCTATCGGTCGCCTGAAATTGAGCATGGGAGACTTCAGCCTTCTGAAACTCCTCGAGAACCCTAGTCTCCAGCTCCTAAATCCTGGCGGCTTGGGCCTCTATAGTGGCCCTCAACTCGAGCTACCCTAAGATCATGGATCAATTGTCTCCTCTCCTCAACTACCTCTAACACCACGTGGTTAGGGTAGGAGAACCTCTCGCGGCACGGGCACGTCCTAACCCCCTTGGCGGGTGACCACCGAAGAGGGGGTTCGCCTCCAATCATCTGAAATCGAATCACTGGGAGAGATCCCTCGATCATATCACTGTCGCTGTCACTGTCCATATCTTACAAACAACCCACAAAACTAAACGTTAGGTCCTTAAAATCATTGGTGCCATTCAAAGATTTAACTTAAGGTTTGTTACAGATTTCCATGACCAAAAGTTCACGATTAAGAACTGCTAACACTATTCTAGATATTTCAAACCTAGTGCTCTGATACCAACTGTGATGCCCTCACCTCTCCCTAGGACGAACTCTAAGGTATCAGTAGGCCGCCTACCCAACTCTTGTCAGGATTCACGCACTCATTCTAACTTAATAGAAATCCACGTGACAATCAAAGACTTAGGATTAAAGGAATACTTCAAATATACAAGCCAAATTATTCTCTGACTAGCATTCACAATTACAATTCAAATACCCCAAATATAACAAAATTTACACTTCAAATGTCTCCAATATCATACAAAAGATTTATTAGGTTCAACCAAAAACTGCTAGTCTATAGTCTCCAACTTCCACCTCCAAAACCTATTAAGAAATAGCAACTTAGGGTGAGCTAATGCTCAATGAGGCCAAAAAAATCAAGCAAGTAAGCAAATAACACAAATTAAATCAAATAGCATGCTTAAAAGCGAATTAACATTAATTTCATACAAGTGAGCAAGTAGAAAGTAAAGCACAAGTAGAAAGGACACAAGAGTTCTCAAGAGCTAATCCCACGTCTCGACCGGTTCAAACTATCTTTGGTTGACCCTTCGTCAACTCAAGTAACATCACGTCCGTAGAGCTCCACTTACTTCTTTCATCTATCATAACACCCTCTCAGATTCGGAACCAAACAAGCACGAGATGGCAATACTTATTCGAGTATGCCAAGTGAGATCTCAAAAAATCAAACTATATAATTTTCTCACGGTTCACCAAACTTTTCGGCCAAGCCCATGCCGGCTCAAATTACGAGGTTAGCCAATAGGTTGGAGCATCTCCACAAGTACAACCGGTCGATGAGACAATGCTCCAATCGACTTATAATTGATAATAGCACTGAATCGGGATTCAGAAGTACCTCGCACCCGAATAGGGTGTGGTACATGTTGCCGCTCAGTGCTCACGAGTTAAAAGCATGTTCAAGTACAAGTGCAAGTCATACAAATTCATATTTCAACTAGCAAGCATTCAAGAGGGAGAGAACGAGGGCGATAAAGTACACCCTTGCCTCGGCAAGTTCACAAGAATCACATAGCACTTGTACAATTATTATTCCAATCATAGCAACATGAAGCATGCACTTGACACTCACCAAAAGTCAAGAGAAAAAGCAAGAGGTCAAACGAGCTCCTCAATATCCACGTGATCACCTAAAACATGCACAATCACGATTACCTAGGTATGTGACCAAGGCTAATAAGAAAAATATTCTCCTGCTACCCACACTCAAAGCCACAAGTTCAAGTCGAATTAAAAGTAACTTTCTCGCTTAATCACTGAAATAATACTCAAGGAGGACTCAGAAGTCATTTTCGAGTCAATTCATGACAAGAAATTTCGATTTCAGAAGAGGAGTAAGAAACATAATTTTTGGCACGAAAATCGAGGAAAGAAAAAATTGGTATTCATATCTTAAACTTCTAATCTTATCACCAAGTTTTAGAATATAAATGAGCATTCACGTTTTCTAAACTTATGAAGTTAAAATCCATCAAAACGCTACTTATTTTCGCAGTAAATATTGGGGCTAAAAGTTCCAAATTTCAAATATGAAGCTAGTGAAATTTTTCAAGAATTACTCTAGCTAAATCGCTCAATTTATAGTTCATTTTCATGGAAACCGAGGACATAATACTAGGAGGTGAAATCTATTTTCCAAGTGTGAAAGGGGTGCAAATAATCAAGAAGATTAGGTTTAAAACCTAGAAAATGTTTCCAAACCACTTTGGAGATTTTGTCACTTTATAAGGAAAATTCCAGTTTTGGGAACGTTTTTGAAAAATCATGTCTTGAGTTCTATAAGTCCAAGGGTCCGTTTGGATTAGCTGTTTTTGGGGTTATTTTTCAAAAATAACACTGTAGTATTTCGTTTTTGAAATACAAGTCCGTTTGAATTAGTTGTTTTTGGGGTTATTTTTCAAAAACTATATGAAAAACTTTTACTGTAGATTTTTTTGGATTATTTTTAGAGGTATTTTTAAAACATATTTTTGAGTACTTTTATAATTTATAATTTTATATTTATATACATTTTTGCATTTATAATACATTTATAAATATTTATAAATAAATATATTTACATATTTATATAAAAATATATTATAAATGTATTATATTATATATAATACATAATATAAATATATTTATAAATGTATAAATGTATATTATTATAAATGTATAAATGTATAAATTATAATAAATAATTTTTATATTTTTATATAAATATATATTTATGCATTTATAATACATTTATAAATATTTATAAATAAATATATTTATATATTTATATAAAAATATATAAATGTATTATATTATGTATAATACATAATATAAATATATTTAGAAATGTATAAGTGTATATTATTATAAATGTATAAATTATAAATGAATATTATATAAATGTATAAATTAATATATTATAAATATATATTAATATTATGTATAAATGTAAAATTAATATTATTTATAAATGTATTAATATTATGTATATTAATATAAATGTATAAATGTATTATATTATATATAATACATAATGTAAATGTATATTATAAATATACATGAATATATATATATTATGTATAAATGTACATTTATATAAATGTATAATATATATTATATTATATATAATTTATATAATATATAATATTAATATGAATATATTATAAATATATAAAAATATATTTTAAATAAAATAAAATATTTATAATATGAATAAATAAATATATATGTATAAATTATATATAAATATTTAATATATATAATATACATTAATATTAATTATAAATATTATAATATTATAAATATGGTGTTTATATAATATTTCAATTTGTAATATTTATTGTATATTTCGTTATATAAATATTTATATAATATGTAATATATAAATATATAATATAAAATTTTCAATTTGTATGATATCAATAATATTATATATATATAATACAATATACATAACATAATATATTATACATAACATACATTTATACCTTATTACATTTTTTTTTTTTTGGCAAAACCCCAAACCGGGGGAGGGACGCCACCCCTCAAAGCTTTATTAGAAATAAACCCTTACAAGTTTGGAGCGATCACACTCTTACATAACGAATGTAGGGGTACTGCCTAGAGTCTAGCTTACAGAGGCCTGTTGTGAGTGTAGGAAGAGAGAGGGCATCAAAAACCTTCGAGTCGCCAGATGAAACCGCCCGTTTTGCAAGGCTATCAGCTGCAGCATTGGTTTCTCTGTAGCAATGTGTTAATTCAAAGGAAGCTTGACGAAGGGCTACTCAAGCCCCAGCTATCACCTCATCAATGCGCCAGGAGCACCTGCGTTCCCCATTAATGACATTTAGTAGAACAAGAGAATCCAGTTCCACCTTTATGTACTGCATACCTAAGGAGATACATAAATGTAAACCCTCAAGAAGAGCCATGGCCTTTGCTTGCATATTTGTCCGAAACCCGTAAAAGGAGGAGAAAGCACTAAGGACGTGGCCATGCTGATCGCGTATAATGCCCCCCCCCAGAGTTTCCAGGATTACCGCTTGAAGGGCCATCAATATTGAGCTTGACGTAAGATGCAGGAGGTGGATCCCATGCAAGAGATAGGACTTGCATAGATTTTTCCTTTTTAAGAAAAGGAACAACTCCCCGTTTCAGAAGCCGGTCATCGTCCATGCATGCCAAGGAGAGAGGGTGAGCAAGGGCCACCAAATGTATCAAACGCAGGATCTGGCGCACAACATGAGTTGCCGACGGCGAAGTAGGATCGAAAATGGCCCGATTACGTGCCTTCCAAAGTTCCCAGCAGACAAATAAGGGGACAATGTGTGACAGCTTTGCCATGGCAGATTTACCTGAAATGTTGCTCCACCAGGCTTGAAGTTTCAGTATGATATCATGATGAGAAGGTGCCCGGATGTCTAGCAATTGTTCCAGCTTTCCCCACACTTGGGTTGCCAAAGAACATTCCACAAACCAATGGGCTAGTGTGTCGGTACTTTCGCAGAAAGGGCACTTGGAGGGTAAATTAAAGCCCAACCGCTGCAAAATGTCAGGGAAAGGCAGAATGCAATTAAGCAGTCTCCACATGAATACCGAAACTTTCAGCGGTATGCGTTTATTCCAGAGCAACACACGGGAAGGCATTGGGAGAGAGTGATCACGAAGGCTCTCCAACGCAGAAGATATTTGGAAGCCCCCATGCGAAGTAGGACACCGGATTAGGTAGTCAGGAGCAGCTCCCGGACTGAGCCGCACCTGTGAATGGTGAATACGCGACATCTCCTCGCTGGAAAGGCTCACCTGGTCCAAGTGCCAAATGTTTTCGTGCAATACATCCCGAAGGCAGAGGTTCGGGGAGGGGACATGCAAGCGATGCTTGCCCAACGGACCGGAGCCGATCCAGTTGTCATACCAGAAGGAAGCACTCCCATTCTTAATCAAGGTTCGCGAATGTTCCTCAACGAAATCCCTAACTCGCAACATTCTCTTCCAAACAACTGAGCTTGTCTGGCTGGCAGGAGCAGTGGTTAGATGCTCCGTGACTGCGACATGTTTCGCACGCATAAACCTGGTCCACAAGGTATCTGAAGTGCGCATTTTCCACCATAGCTTGCACCCAAAAGCATCCTGGACATCCTGTAAACGACGAAGGCCTAGGCCATTTTCTTGGGTAGGCTTACACAATGCTTGCCATTTCCTCCAATGACGCTTGTCACGTCCCTCAACCTCTCCCCAAAGGAAAGTGGACATTAGTTTTTCAATCCTCTTAATCACACCTCGTGGGAGCTCCGAGACGGCCAGAGTGTAGATGGGTATAGAAGATAGCACATGCTTAATGAGAATTAACCGTCCCCCTGGCGACAGGAGCCGATTTTTCCATCCAGCCAACTTAGCCTGTATCCTATCAATCAAAGGTTGAAAATGCTCCATCCTCCTTTTTCCTTTCACAAGCTTGCATCCTAAGTAGACAAAAGGAAGTCCCCTATATTGAAAGCCGGTTCGCCGAGCTAGAATCCTTTTAGCCGCCAGAGGACACTTCAGAGAGACAATGTAGAAACTTTTATCCTTGTTCACTCGCTGACCGGAGCCGTGTTGATACAACTCCAAGAAGCCCATGAGAGACTGCACCGAGCGCTTGTCCCCCCGAGTAAAAATGACTATATCGTCTGCAAAAGCCAGATGCAATACCGTCGGGCAGTGGCGGCCCAAAGCAAAAGGCTGTAACTTCCGCTGCAGAGCCAAGTTATTAACCCCTCGGCTTAAAGCTTCAGACACCAAGATGAAGAGGAAGGGGGATAACAGGTCGCCTTGTTTCAATCCCTTCTTAGCTTGAAAGAAACCACGAGGTCGACCGTTGACCAATATTGAAAACCATGCAGATGTGAGGTTGTTCATAATTAAAGAGACAAAGTGGGAGTGAAAGCCAAATTGAAGCAATAATCGGGAGAGGAAATCCCACGAAACTCGATCAAAAGCTTTCATCATGTCTAACTTGAAAATGACGTTGTGACCCCGGGCCTTCTTGTCTATGGAATTCACCAGCTCCTGGGCAAGCAAGATATTATCAGCGATATCCCTGCCACTGACGAAGCCCGATTGCTCAAGAGAGATAATCGTTGGGAGAACAACTTTTAAACGGTTGCTCAGGATTTTGGTGAATACCTTGTTGATAAAGTTGCACAGGCTTTATGGGTCGGAAGTCCGCAAAAGAATACGGAGCCTCCTTTTTAGGCAAAAGGAGGATCAGAGTGCTCGCTATTCCCTTCGGGATTGGGACACCACACATGAACTCCCGAGCAGCTTGGAGGACATCCTGTGCAATTATATCCCAGCAGCGCTTGTAAAAATTACCCGAAAATCCATCACAAGCCGCTGCACTTTGGCCATCGAGTTCAAAGACAGCTTGCCACACTTCCTCTAGCGTAATTTCCTGGATGAGTTGCGCATTCTGATCTGCGGTAACAGGAGGTGGGATGGCTTCTAGCAGCCTGCAAATAGCAGTGTTGTTTATTGGTGGAACCTCCGCTAACAGCGATTGAAAGAAAGCCACTGCCGCTGTCCCAATGTCATCTGCACTTTCAACAACCTCACCCTCTAAATTGCAGATCCTGGTGATCGAGAGCCGTGCCCGCTTATCCAACAGGTGGGAGTGAAAATACCGAGTATTTGCGTCGCCCTCCCTCAGCCACTTCACTCTGGCTTTCTGTTTCCAGAAAGTTTCCTCATCAGTTAGGTGTTTCAGCAGTGTAGCCTGGGCCTGACTCCATTGCACTCGAGCCTCATCCGAATCTGTCACCTCAAGTTGCAACTCCTTTAGCCTTACTTCCTCCTCAGCTTTGGAGACTTTCTCGAAAATATTACCAAATACATCTTGGTTCCAAGTACGCAAGGCTTGCTTTAAACGTTTCAATTTGAGGAAAAAATGAAACATTCCATATCCATCTGTCGGTTGATCCCAACACTGGCGAACCACCATGAGGAAACCGTGGTGATTTAACCACATGTCTTGGAAGCGAAACGACTTCGGCCCAGTGGGGAGCCCTAGGGAGAGTTGCAATAACTGTGGGCTATGGTCTGAGGTAGCGCGATTAAGATGTTTCACTACGCTGCCAGAGAAACGACGTTGCCATTCCAGATTCATCAGGAGTCTATCTAAACGCTTCCAGATTCTCCTGCCTTGGCGGATACCAGTCCAAGTGTAACGACTGCCCGAGAAGGGAATCTCTTTGAGACCACATGTAGATATACATTCAGCAAACTCAGCCATTGCGGTCAAGTCTTGTACAGCCTGTCCGGCATATTCATCAGCAGCAGCTACAACATTGAAATCGCCTCCTACAAGCCACGGCTTAGTCCCCATTTCCTCCGATATTAATCCCAGGGCTGACCATAAGGCGCGCGACGTTCAACTCGCGAGCATTTGCTGTAAACAAAGGACCCGTGAGCAACAAAGTTCCAAGAATCATGGCAAACTTGCATGTGAATAAGTTGGTCATTGTTTACTAAAACATTTACAGCAAAGCCAGACCGCCACATTACCCATATTTTATTGGAGGAGTTACATACCCCAAGGTGAAAGCCAAAACGGGACGTAAAATCATCTAGCTGACCGGCATCAACCATCGGCTCGATGATGACTAGAAAAGTTACTGAATGTAAACGTAACAGCTTCTTCAAACGGCGAATTGAGGCACGGCCAGCAATTCCCCGGATATTCCATACTAGCATATTAATCATTAAGTAAAGGATGAGGGGAAATCAGTGCCTACCTTCGAAGACTGCCGGGTGACAATTGTTTTGGGCAAGTTCCAGAATCATCTGCGCCGACCCCTTTTGGCTAATTGTGTCTCTTTGTGAGTAACCGGAAAGAGGTGGTCGATCCTCTTTTTGAAGGCTGCCAAGTCCTCCGTCAAAACTGCACGTGGACGAGCAGGTCTTTGTTGTCCTTCAGCTTCCGAAAGTGAGTCAAGGGTTTCCCGTCTGCGTCGCCAAAGGCATTGATCATCCCTTATGTCGCAAGGAAGAGGCTTGTTCAGTACCGGCGGAAAGGCCGAAGGCTTTGGAGACTCTGAGGGGACCGGACAGGGCAGAACCTCGGTCCTCTTGGGATTACTCACTACCGTTGCCGAAACCAAATGGGCAGAGCAGGCAGCCGCTGCTTCTGCGATTGCATCTGTAGAGCGCTGCGGTCGGGCCGCTAAGTTGTGTCGTCCCTGGGTATCCGCATTAGAGACGTGTTGTTGGGCGGATCCCTGATCCCCAGTGTCAGGATGTACTACTTCGGCTGAAACCCTAGCCACAGTCAGCTCTGGTTCTTTAGGTTGATCTGTCGCCTCCAGCGGGATTGAATCCTTTGCAGGCCCGACTTGTTGTTGCGTAGCCAGGATATCCCGGTGATTAACAACATGATCTTGCGATCGACAGGAACTGGCGGAGTGGCCAAGTTTCCTGCAACTTTCACAATAATCTGGTAGGCTTTCATATTCTACCTTTTGCCAGAAACCAGTCGACCCGTTCCAAATCCACACCCGTTGGGGGAGGGACTGTAACAGATCAACTTCAACGCAGATGCGAGCCACACTAGGCCGCGACAATGTCGCTGTGGATGCGTCTAGGCGTAGGGGTTCGCCAACCAATCGAGCAATGGAGAACAAAGGCTCTTTTCCAAAGAGGTGGACAGGGAGAAACGGGAGGCGGATCCAGACCGGTACTATAGAGGATTCGATATTTGCAGAGAATGTGGGTGACCACTTGAACACACGCATTGCAAAGCCTTGGAACGTCCAGAAACCGCGCAACCAACATCTATGAAAATCGTCTTCGAGGTCGAATCTGATTAGGGCATGCCTAGGGTCAAGCAGTCCCAACGAGAAAGAACCCTTAAAGCCAACGGACATGAAGTCTTTTCGTAGACCCTCCATTGACGGCCTGCCACGGGAGAATTTCCCAATCAAAGCAAATTTTAGAGGAGATGATAAAAGGCGACACAATAATGTACATCATAATGAAAGTACATTAATAATGTATATATTATAATATAATGTACATAATATATTATGTATAAATATTTATACATTTATGTATACAATATTACATATTATGTATATTATATTATATTATGTATAATATACAATATTAATGTATATAAATATTTATATAATACATAATATATAAATATATAATATTCAATTTGTATATTTCAATTTACATTAATAATATATATATATATAATATACATAATTGAAATATACAAATTGAAATATACATATTATGTATATTTGGAGTTGGTTTTGATATAATGTTTGGATATGGGTGTTTGAAATACACATTTACTGTAGCATTTGGAATGTGAAAAACAGTTTTTCAAAAATAGAGGCAAAAACAAGGAATCCAAACGAACCCCAAAATTTGCAAATTTTATACCATTGGAAAATAGATTCAATGAACTAAAACTTTCTAGAAGACACTTTTCCCAGATTCAAATCAGAAATCAGTCAAATCTTAGCTCCAAATCGCTGCTTCAGTGAAAACATGGTAAAACAGTCTTGAATTTTGGTGAAACTTGAAAATTTGTCAAAATTCATAGGAATCAAACTAACTCCTAAAATCTATATCACTGAAAGAACTCCAAGTATAGTTTCAAACGCAACAAACAGAATTCAATTTAAATTTTTCTACACCAAGATATAACGGTTTTTTGAAAGCTGATTATTGAAACCAGATACACGAAATTCCAGCTTTGGAACACCCAACACAGTTTCTAAATCAGGTCATAACTAAGGCTACACAAGTCCAAAATTAGCGTTTTACAACATTGAAAACTAGATTTAAAATGCTAAAAAACACTAGAAGAAACTGTCTTCAAATTCATTTCGTAAAGAGAGTGAAAACGAGTTACAAACTGTAGTTGTGCTTGTCTCTTGGTTAAAACAATAAGGGAAATCAGCCAACTTTGCCAGTTCCCTGCGACTCATAGAAAATGAACTAGTAGGTATATTTTATATTGTTAGAAATTCCTCGGAATCTAGTTTCACATGCCATATACGGAACTTGATTTCGACTCCTGTACGAAAAATTATGTGTTGTTTAGTGCACACTGGTTGGCTGCCCTGATCAGAAATTTTCAGGTTTGTTTTCCTCCTTTTAGCTTAAATCTAACTCATTCAAATGAAGTGATTTTTGGAAGATAATTTACACACACATAACCCAACATGTAGCAAGCAATTTTGCATCAATATAACCACAAATTTCACTTCATTTCTAGGGCTTTGGTTCGGACAAATCGTTGATCCCTTATCTCTCTCGAGAGTGCAGGGTTGCTAAAACCCACGCCCGTGACCCCGTCCACGTTCTTGCTGATCCATTTAGCAAGAGTCTAAACGCATAATTAAAAGAGGGGAAATAAGCATAGAAATTTAAATGCATATGCAAGTTGCAAGAACACTTGAAATTAAAGCATACTTTTTTACATAAACTAAAAGTCATGTTACAAGTCAAGAGTTCATAAAATAAATCAATATTGTCAAATACATGACATAGGCATCCAAGTGTCTCAAAATTATGTGATCAGCCATGGTCCCACACTCCATCATAATGCTATCCACATGGTCCCTCACCTCCTCTACAATCCGAATGAGGCGCCCATCAGTCGCCTGAAACTGAGCGTGGGAGGCGTCAACCCTGTGACGCTCCTCAAGAACCCTAGTCTCCAACTCCTGAATCCCGGCGGTTTGGGCCTCCATAGTGGCCCTCATCTTCTCCCTCTCAGCTCGAGCTACCCTAAGGTCATGGATCAACTGTCTTCTCTCCTCAACTACCCCTAACACCATGTGGTTAGGGTAGGAGAACTTCTCGCGGTACAGGTACATTCTAACCCCCCTGGTAGGTGACCACCGAAGGGGGGGTCCGCCTCCAACCATCCGAAACTGAATCACTAGGAGAGGTCCCTCGATCCTATCACTGTCGCTGCCACTGTCCATATCCTACAAACAGCCCACAAAACTAAAGGTTAGGTCCTTAAAATCACTGGTGCCATTCAAAGATTGAACTTAAAGTTTATTACGGATTTCTATAACCAAAAGTTCACGACTAAGAACTTCTAACACTATTTCAGATATTTCAAATCTAGTGCTCTGATACCGACTATGATGCCCACACCTCTCCCTAGAGCGAGCCCTAGGGTATCAGCGGGGCGTCTGCCCAACTCTCGTCAGGACTCATACACTCATTCTAGCTAAATAAAGATCCACAAGACAATCAAAGACTTAGAATTAAAGGAATACTTCAAATATACAAGCCAAATTCTTCTCAGACTAGCATTTAGAATTACAATTCAAATACCTCAAATATAACAAAATTCACACTTCAAATGTCTCTAATATCATACAAAAAATTTATTAGTTTCAACCAAAAATCGCTAGTCTAGAGTCTCCAACCTCCACCTCCAAAACCTGTTAAGGAATAACAACTTAGGGTGAGCTAACGCTCAGTGAGGCCAAGAAAATCAAGCAAGCAAGGAGGTAACACAAATTAAATCAAATAGCACACTTAAAAGTGAATTAACATGAATTTCATACAAGTGAGCAAGTAGAAAGTAAAACACAAGTAGAAAGGATACAGGGGCTCTCAAGAGCTATTCTCACGTGTCAACCGGTTCAAACTATCTTTGGTTGACCCTTCGTCAACTCAAGTAGCATCAAATCTGTAGAGCTCCACTTGCTTCCTTCATCCATCATAACACCCTCTCGGATCTGGAACCAAACAAGCACGAGGTGGCAATACTTATTCGAATATGCCAAACGAGATCTCAAAAGATCAAACTATATAATTTTTTCATGGTTCACCAAGTTTCTCGACCAAACCCTTGCTAGCTCGAGCTACGAGGTTGGCCAATGGGTTGGGGCGTCCCCACTAGTATAATTGGTCGATGAGACAACACTCCAATCGATTTAAAATCGATCATAGCACTGAATCGGGATGAGAGACACCTCCCACTCGAATAGGGTGTGGTACATGACGCCGCTTAGTGCTCACGAGTTAAAAGCATGTTCGAGTACAAGTGCAAGTCATACCAATTCATATTTCAAATAGCAAGCATTCAAGAGGGAAAGAACAATGGCGAAAAAGTATACTTTCGCCTTGGCAAATTCACAAGAATCACATAGCACTTGTACAATTATTATTTCAATCATAGCAAGATGAAGCATGCACTTGACACTCATCAAAAGTCAAAAGCAAAAGCAAGATGTCAAACGGGCTCCTCGGCGTTCACGTGATCACCTGAGACATGCACAATCACGGTTACCTAGGTATTCAACCAAGGCCAATAAGAAACATATATCCTCTTGCTACCCACACTCA